TGAGACATTAAATAGCTGTTGACAATTATAACTTTGTAAGCATCTAGTGAAAGGACAACCCAATAATAACCCATATAATTTGGTCTAAACTATCCAATAAATCCTTAATTATCTAACAGAAATTAGGTAACAAAAATCGATTACACGAAGTACTGATTAACAACCTTTTTCCCCTCTAATCCTCGTGGATTTGGTCGTAACTCGTTATCCATAATCCAAAAATAGCTTAAGAAAAGGCAAAATGAATATCCTTTTTTTTGTTCAAAGCAAATCTTTATTTATTTTTGGATCAAAAAGCTGTAAAACTTTTCTCATCTTCCCCATTACTTATTTAAACCCTTCACGAGTTTTTTTTTATAATTCCAAAGATCAAAGAAAGTCACGGATCAATCATCTTCATCTTCTTCATTTCTCTATCTCAATCTTTTCCTTTAATTTCGATTTTGCGGCGTCTGTTCTTATCTACTCACAAGAAAGCAACAGATCATTAAAAGCTCTCACTTTTTTTCTCTTCTCTCTCCTTGATTTGCTCAACCGTTGATCTATAGTGAAGAAAGTTTGGATTTTGCGAAGTGGGTTTTGTCGAAATTCATTGAAAAGAAATGGGTTCTTCAGTGGAACAGAACATTTTGGTGACTGGTGGTGCTGGATTCATTGGGACACACACTGTTGTTCAGCTTTTGAATCAGGGTTTTAAGGTTACCATCATTGATAATCTTGATAACTCTGTCGTTGAAGCTGTTCATAGGGTTCGTGAGCTTGTTGGTCCTGATCTCTCTACCAAGCTTGAATTCAATCTGGTCAGTACCAAAAAAGCTTCGATTTTTTAATGCAACTTTTGGCTATTTTTTAGGAATTTTAAGAAAAGTTGAAGAATTTGCTCTGTTATGCATAGATTCTTGGATTTAGTTAGTTATGGCTTTTTGTTAGATTTTTCATTTGTTTGTTAGTTATATAAAGATTTTGGGTGTTTTGATTTATTTCAGGGTGATTTAAGAAACAAAGGAGATATTGAGAAACTCTTTTCTAATCAGAGGTAATGTGAAATTTTTTTTTGAGACTCAAATTACGTTAATATTTTATTCACATTTTGGTCTGATGTTCTGATTCTTTGTGAGGGAAAAACAGATTTGATGCAGTGATTCACTTTGCTGGTCTTAAAGCTGTGGGTGAAAGTGTTGGAAACCCTCGTCGTTACTTCGATAATAACTTGGTTGGAACAATCAATCTGTATGAGACAATGGCAAAATACAACTGCAAAATGGTTAGATTGAGTTCTTCAATTTGGTTAAATGGTTAGAATGATTCACATTGATGAGGTTTACAAATTGGTTTTGATGCTGGAATTTATATACAGATGGTGTTTTCGTCGTCTGCAACGGTTTATGGCCAACCTGAAATAGTCCCATGTGTAGAAGACTTTAAGTTACAGGCTATGAATCCTTATGGTCGTACTAAGGTATTAAGCTCTTAAGCACATCAAAGTTTGTCATCTTTTTCTGAGCCCTGGACCTTGAATCTGTTTTGATTTGATTGTATAATCCTGAAAGTTATCTCATTTGTGACTGAGATCTTTAAAGTCTTGTCATTTCTTGTAATGGTCACAATCTTCTCTTTGTTCAGCTGTTTCTTGAAGAAATAGCTAGAGACATTCACACGGCAGAACCAGAATGGAGGATAATTCTTCTGAGGTATTTCAATCCAGTTGGAGCTCACGAGAGCGGAAGGATTGGAGAAGATCCAAAAGGCATACCTAACAATCTCATGCCTTATATCCAACAAGTTGCGGTTGGACGATTACCTGAACTCAATGTATATGGACATGACTATCCTACCAATGATGGTAGCGCGGTACAACATCGATTTCTTTAATCGAAAATCTGGTTTGGATTTATGATGATAGACTGATAAACTAACATACACTACTTGCAGGTCAGAGATTACATTCATGTAATGGATTTAGCAGATGGCCATGTTGCTGCATTAAACAAGCTATTTTCAGACTCAAAGATCGGTAAACTCTTTACGACATATAACTGTTTGAAGTAGTTTGGCTTTGATTTGATGGACTCAACCAAAGATTGATGTGTTGGTGTGTCATCTTAATCTTAGGTTGTTCTGCTTATAATCTTGGGACTGGTCAAGGAACTTCTGTCTTAGAAATGGTTTCTGCTTTTGAAAAAGCTTCTGGCAAGGTACATTTTGTGTTCTCCCTTTCTCTTATTTCCCCAATTTCGACAGTGAGTTTTGTTCGAATGAGATTGACGATTTGTTGTCTAAAATGTTATATAATCATCAAAACATATACTTCTGCAGAAAATCCCTATCAAGCTATGTCCAAGAAGAGCTGGAGATGCAACAGCGGTTTACGCTTCAACTCAAAAAGCTGAGAAAGAACTCGGATGGAAGTAAGTCAGATCGGTTTTACTATTTTCGCATATAAAAACCGAACAATCTTGCTTGTGAAACAAGATCAGATATTTTCTCTATAAGTATAGAGAATGAAGAACTTCAAGAACCAGACTTTTGACAAGAACCATACTTTGATACTTTTTAAAAGTTTTAATATCTGTGTTGAGTTATTATTATGCATAAGGGATTGATTCTTTGTGGTTTATTAGGGCAAAATATGGAGTGGATGAGATGTGCAGAGATCAATGGAACTGGGCAAACAAGAATCCATGGGGTTTCCAGAAAAAGCCTTGATTTTTTATTTTTATAAAGCCTTTCTTTTTCACTACTCAAATATAAAGAGAAAAAAACTATATAGATAGTGGTTTTATTTTCCTGCATCTATTTTATCTCTTTTCAAAAAAACTGTATCGAACGAGTCCTCTTTCAGTTAATAAAAATTTACGTTAAATACGATCTTAACTTGTCATTACAAAACAACGAACTATTTCTTCTCTTTATGCAACTCAAAGCTAGTCTTGAACTTTTCTACTAAATTTGTATGCCAAATATTTTCAAATGAGCTCCATTATTATTAATAATCTGAAATTTGCAAGTAAAGAATGGATTTAAGCTCAAAGTTACTCTTATAAACTCAAAATTCAACAACATGAACTAAAATGTGTATTATATATATCACAATTCACAACAAGCAATGTAAAACTTACAAACTGATCAAATCTCGAACCCTTTTTTTTTCCCCTGGGTTCCTCCCTCTCGCTGCTAATGATACAGATATTCGCGTATATGCATG